CAGAGCCAGGAGTCTCAGAAGGCAATGAAAGGAAACTGGTCTGCAACCTTGAGTGAACTTGGTTTCAAAGAAATATTCATATATCCATGGAGATTTCATCCAGACGAATCAGACTGACTGGTCTTATCAGGGAAATAAAGGAGTGGGTGGGGGATTGTAATGGCTGTGAAAAGGAACAGCTTGAACTAAAATGTCTTTGTTAAGAAAACAGAATGCAAATATAATTTTCATACCACAATATGAAGATTATTTGTACAACATTACTTGTACTACAGATACTGAGGTAGGACAGACTATGAAAAAACTTAATCCTGTTGAAATAATTAAACTGTTGAGGTGATTCTGGCTACTGAAGGAGTTGCTACTGTGCAAACCCTTAAAATCCGCTGTATTAGCACTAAGCTGCTGGGAAAGTCTTAGCATAGTAAACATAGATTAACGAAGTCTAGGGCATATCCTGATGCAAACAGGTAATCAGAACATTCCTCAGCAGACACAGAAAATATGCTAAATGCTACAGTCAGTAGAGAAGTCAGCCATTACAAAGGATGAAGTTGGATGATTGCATCTTGTACAGGGAGGCATGCTCTAGGGCTATTTCAGATAGATTTAAATCTCAGCAATTTAAACCCACTGAAAATGAAAGGAGAAAAATAATCTCTTCTATATTCTGAGGGCTCAGTGCTACTATAGACTAGATCTCACCAATAAGATATTAAAATAGATTCTTCCCATCTTTGAATACCATGCAACTGGCAGGTAATAGGGTCTCAGTTTTGTTCTGTGCTTTGACTTCTGGGACATACATGAAAATATGTTGGCAGAAACTACATTGTCTTCTGTCACTGTCTTACCTCTTCTCAGCAAGTCTCTTACACCTGCTTTCTATTAGTCAGTAGTTCACACCCTGGTGGCCAAGTCAGCATTCAAGCAAAATATTGAGGCCCTCTAGTTATCATCATGCTTCGGTGACCCCGACCCTCAGACTGCGTCTCTCACTGCTGCTGCAGCAAACATCTAGTGTTGCTCCCACTGTGCAGATAAAGAAGGCACAGGGGGAAAAAGGCCTAGATGTCTCTAGAAGGTAGAAATATGAAGCTTTTATTTACAGTTGCAATCCAAACTGGGGCTCAAGTCTGCAGGTATTGCTTACTAGGCTTCTCCCTGTTACACCTAAACCTTATCTGCACACCTCTGTTTCTAGTTTGGGGCATGTCTGGAGTGGGGGATTGAAACTATTGGACACCTGGTCCCATGGGACAGTCCCCTTGAGAACCCAAGCTCCCCTTTTGCAAACAGCCCATATCACCAGGGGCCACAAATCTCACCTCATGTAAAAAGAGCAGTACAAATCAGCAAGTCTGGCTGCTTCCTTTGCCAAGTTTCAAGGTTGGTTTGCCACCCCTTTGCTCCATAAAAGCCTAGTTGCCTAAAATATCTTCACATTAGGAGAGTAATGCAAATTCAACACTTCATCCCTCCTCAGGATGGACATCTTCTAGCCCTACACCCTAACCAGCAGGAACCCTAATAGACTGGGCCAGGGAGCATCTCCTCAGCCCTCATTCAGTCTCTCTCTGAAATAATTAGGCATTCAAGCAATAGAAGAGAAAGTATGAGCCCATATCCTCATGGTTTAAGCAATGGGTGTGCAGAAAGAATGCTGCATTTCTGTCCCTGACGGAGTTATCTTTTAGGTATTTTCTATTAAACAGCTACAGGATAAAGACCCATAGGATGGGAAACAGGCCCTAGCATGCCTCTCTCAGCACCCCAAGCACCAGGGCTCTCCTTACACATGCTCTCCCTCAGCTATCTGCTCCATAGTGGCAGAATTTGAGTGAGAGGAGCCTCCCTCCTCCACCACCACAGGCTCACACTGTGGTTAGGACACTCTGGTGGGTGGGAGCCTGAATCTTCAATCTGAGGAAGACAGCAAACATGAGCTTCCAGAGTAATGAGTGTTTCAAATGATAAGCCATCTTACAGAATGCAACTGTTGGTCTGAAGTTTGGCAGCCAAAGAAAAGAAAAAGCCCTAGTTAACTCTCATTACAAACACAAGTTGGCACTCTTCTTGGAGACAAGACCATCCTTTGAATCCCAGATGGAAGAAGGCTCTGACTTCCCAGCTGCAGGCAGATGCATTTATATTGAGCAGAGGCACAATATTCAGACCTAGACCTCTCACTAGTGCTTCCTAGCAGCACCTCACTCATTTGCATTTTCATTTGCTAGCATTTTTGGTCCCCAAATATCCTGTACAAGACCTAGCTTTACATCTTGGCTTGGATTCTTTCTGGATGGCTGGCACCTGTTAAGTGCTGCAGTGGTTTTTGTCTCCAGGGGTGACTTGTCTGTGGTGCTCAGGAAGGTTCATGGAGCAATGAACTGGCCCAGCTCTGCCACCTTTCTACTCTGAATGCTGCAGTCATCCTACAAGTAGTTAAAATTTTTCTCAGACCATCCAGACCATCCCCTAGATTCTTAATTGCTGCTGTGGCTTTTTTGTATGACCTTGTGGCTTTCATTGTACAGATCTGCCTAAAAATAAGAACTACTTTAATCTGCAGAGTTAAGAAAGCAATTTATACCTTTATTATTAAGCACATTCAAGCATCATAATAATCATCATCACCATCACTTTAATGAAGACTTTCACTCCTTAATGAATAGGACATAATAATTAATCTGTGGTGCTGAGCCACACCATCCTGCTTTCTGGGACAGAGAAAATAAAGTTTCTTCTTCAGGGAAGTGAGAAAGCAGTTAATTTACCCCAGCAATAAACAGATTGCGGTTTTTAAGTGTTCTGATTCCAGATGAGTGCTTGTTTACATTTCTAGATATGCAGTCAGGACAGTAATAGTTCCCAGAGGGCTTTCAGATGTGCTTCTGAGAGACCAATCTTTTTGTGCAAGCCAAATAACGAGGGAACTAAAACTCAGCGTTATTACTGAAGTTGATTTTGCACGTGATAGCTTCCAGAAACACTACCCACACACAAGAGGCAATGCTGCAGATTCTCCAACTGATATATTTAATGCCTTTTAGCACCCATGCAGAGTGTCCACAGCCAAGAAAGGGAAAGCAGGACTCCAGCCTGGCTCAGGCACTCCTGGAGCAGCCGGAGCTGCGTTCCAAATGCACAGCTGCATTCTTCCCTGTTGACACCACCCCAGGGGCTGAAGAGAAGCAAGATAAAACCAAAAATCTTTAATATGGCTTCTAGCATGACTTATCTTCATTACTGCTAGTAACTCCAATCCCTATTACATCCATACCATTCCAAGACTGCCACTTAAGGAGCTTTTTTCTGCTTCTGAGCTTCTTAACACAGCAGTTCAAGCACACAGTCACACAGAGACTCTACTGCTGCTCCTGTAATAGTCCAGCTCTGCTGCTTACACGGAATTTGCACAAAAAAAATCACAGCACTGCCTTTTGAGTGTCCTGGACTGCCTTATCAAATAAAAAAGTAAAGCAGCCTTACAACTACACATTGTATTCAGAGTTGTAAGACATACTTGCACCAGCTAAAGCTATCCACATTTTCTATTTTAACCACAGCTAGCTGTGTTCTGTTGTCACATTTCTCCATTTTCTTACCAATTAAGAGTTCACATCAGCTGCCTTGTGGAACAGTCAACATCATCCTGAGCTGCACTAGCTAGGGCATCACTGGAGGGTCAAGAGAGGTGATTCTGCCCCTCTACACAGCACTGGTGAGTCCACATCTGGAGTGTTACGGCCACAAAAGAGACATGGACTTACTGAAACAAATCCAGCAAATCACCACAAAGATGACTGTGAGACTGGAGCACTTCTCATATAAGGAGAGGCTGAGAGCTGGGATTGTTCAGCCTGGAGAAGGCTGAATGTATATTAATATCTGAATGGGAAGGAATGAAGAGGAGGGTGCCAGCCTTTTCTCAGTAGCCAACTGAAATCCATGACACAGGAAACCTAAAAACAGGAAAATACTTTTTTGTGCTCTAAGGGTGGTCAAACACTAGATCAGGCTGTCCAGAGAGGTTGTGGAACCTACATCTTGAGAGATACTAAAATGCTGTCTGGACATGGTCCTGGGAAATCTTGGGGGATCAGACCAGATGACCTCAAAGGATCACTTCCAACATAAAAAATTCTGTTTATTATACGGATGTTTAACGTATAGAGAGAGGGCAATAAATTTGCCCCTCCTAGAGAGGGCAATACATTTGAATTATGCCTGAATCTAACATACAATATCATAAGTGCAACTTAGATATTTACTCCAAGTTAAAACAGGAAGTCCAGACATGATGCTGTCAGACAAGGGGGGAAAATGGGCAAACCAAACTGTAGCTCTATTTTAAGCACTGGGGCAGCGAAGACTTGACTATGCTGCATTAACAAAACAAATAATTTTCATCTTGGTCATCATACTGTAAACTGTCATTAATTACACCGTAAGAAGACCATAAAGTGAGTACAATCTGACACTGATAAAGCAGGAAAGCAGCGTGCGGCTTATTCATGGAAAAACTGCTCCGGCCATACAGGCCTGGAGCCTTCACGAGGCGCTTTTCCCCAGCCAAGGCTTCCCCCTGGCGTCAGCGACTAACAGCACAGCGGCGCTGTCCAAGGCAGCGACACTCGTGCCCAAGAGAAGATGGCGCTGAGGGCTGGGCACGCACCTCTGTGGGCAGAACCGAGCTGCCGAGTGCGACGCTCCAGATGGATTCTCTGGACGCGTGACTTTCCCCCTCCACTTGCGAAGCGGAACTGTTACCCGTCTGTTTTGCCATGTCTTAGACAAAGAGTCACAGGCAGTTCAGCCCGAACAGGCTGCCCAGGGCAGCAAGGCCAGGCAGGACTGGGCTCCGAGGGTCCCGTTCCGGCGGGGGTGTCCCTGCCCGCGGCGGGCGGTGCCCGCGGGACGCTGGCCGAGCTCCCCGCCATTTCCCCCCGCGCCTACATCTCCCGTCGTGCCGCGCGGCGCGCTGCGGGCGGGGCCGCGCGGGCGGCTGTGCGCAGGCGCGGCGGTCGCGCGGCGGTCGGTCGGTGGAGCAGCCGGCAGCCATTGTCGCCGCGGCCGCAGAGCGGTTCTCTCACGGCCAGCAGGACTCGCCGCTCCGCGACGGTGCGTGGCCGCCCCTCCGCCGCGGGGAGGGGGTCGGGACGGGTGCGGGGAGCCACCGGCGGGGTTCTGGCGGCGGTTCCCCGCGGTGGGGCGGGAACGGGCCGAGGCCCGGGGCCGCGGGCGGAGGCCGCGCTGGCGCCGCGCGGCGCCGCAGGCCCGGGCGCTCGGCGGGGCCGCGGCCGGGGGGAGGAGGGGGGGGGCATCGGCATCCATCGCTGCCGCGAGCGGGGAGGGCTGGTCCCGGCGGATGGCCGGGAGGAGCCGTCGCGGATTGGAGGCGAGCGCAAAGCTTCGAGGAGCCGAAGGGGCAGACGCCGCTGCGTGGGCCGGCGCCGCGATGGCGGCGGGCCCGTGAAGAGGGCCCGGCTGCCTTGGGCAGGCCGCAGGCCTGGGTCCTCATGGCTTCTCGAAAGGAGGGAGGAGCAAATGGCCGCTTGCTGCGGATCCGTGCTTCCCGAGGGCTTTTCCGCACCTACCGAGTCATCAGCCAGCGAACTCGGTTTCATTGTGGTAGGAGCGACGTGTGAAGCTCCGCGCCTCGCAGGTGTCAATACACATTTCGCATCCATTGTGTTCCCTGATAATGAGTAAATAACGCGCGGATGGGTTGTTCGTAAGTCTTTCGCAGTATATTTGACAGGTTCAGTGGTGATCAGTTCCACCCACCTACCCCGTCTTCATTTCTTTTTGTGATTCTTCTCCCCGCTTTATTTTTCTAGAACTAAAAATATCGAACAGCAGTTACGCAGTCATTTTAATCTTTCAAATCTCTGTTCCCAAAATGAGCGCTTTTGCCAGAGCGGCTGTTCTTGCCGTGTTCTAAGGCATACAGTTACGTAAGGCTGGCCTTCCTCTGCGAGGGCCTGTCTTTCCCTTAATACCCACGGCTGGCCTGGCCGCTGTTGTGTGGTAAGGGTGCGCCAGGGAAACCCTGTGTTGGAAGCACTCCGCGAGGGAGCTGAACCAGCCCCCTGAACTGGATTTCCGTGTGGCCATCAAAACGCACGGGTGAGCACAAAGGAGAGAATGGCTACAAAGGGCAGCGTAGGCTCTTCCGAGGTTCGGGGATTGAGGCCAATTTCAGTAAGTGCTGTCGCAGTTCAACCCCTCACCCCATAAAAAGCCCAGTACCCAAGCTTCCAAAACTCCGGCACTTCTCGGATGGCATGGTAAGTCTGAGTAAATAAAGTATTCAATAGAAACCTAGTGGTTGTACGTTAACAAAGAAGACAAATTATGTTAATTAAAAATATTGCATTCAAACTGACTGAAATTATTTTCACAGCCAACATGGCATGTTGTCTGTTTACTCTGTCTGCATTATAGCCCAGTATTGTAGTGCAAGATCACGTCATATTTCCATTCCTTAGGGCTCAAATTCTTTGTTTGTTTTTTTTTTTTTCTATGACAGCAAGCTCATTGAGTGAGCCAAATAATTAATATTTTCCAATTATGAGATCTTAAAATTTTTTTAAACCACATAAACTGAAAAAGTGACACCTTAAGGTAAAAGATTTTTACATAAACTATCTCAAATAGATTTTTTAAATTTTTGCTATTGTTTAAATTTCATAATGCAAAATTCTTCCAAACCAGATAGACTGTTAAAATATAGATATAGATTTATGTTTACTGGAAAACAAAATAGTTTGATGACTACCGTTTTATCTTTTGTTTGCTAATTTTATTGCAGAAATTATTCTAGGCTAAACCAAAAGTTTTAAAAATGTTTTATGTTGTTTGTTGTTATTATAATGATTAACATACAAATTTTGTTCTTTCTTTTTTTTTCAGCAGCTGCTAACCCAATAAAATCTTTGAAGTTACAGATTTGGGATTTCAAGTTTCATTATTAAAAAGTACAAAACTGAAAGTTTTTTGTAGGTTCTGCTAGAATTCATCAAGACAGGATTTTAGCCCTTCTCTGGATGTAGAGATTCAGGCTTTTAACATTTATACTTGGAGGACAGTAAAATCAAATCCTATTTAACCAAGATTTCTGAGATGTAAAAGTGATCTTAATCACCCTATTTTAAGTTAGTTAATCTGATAAACGGTGCTGTTTGCTTTTTTAGCACCAACCTTAATATGAGTGGCTGCCGTGTCTTTGTTGGACACTTGAGCTCACGTGCTCGTGAACGGGATGTAGAGAAGTTCTTCAAAGGATATGGTCGCATACGAGAAATCCATCTAAAAAATGGATTTGGGTTTGTGGTAAGAAACACCTTTGTTTTCCTTGCTCTTGCTTACAGGTACCAACCTTGCTAGGATGATGTCAAGGGAAGGAAGATGTTTAAGATAATAGTCGCAGTGGGAAATAGAAAATATTAATAAACATTTCAGAATGCTTTTCATAATTTTAGATTACCATTTTGGCCAGGTTTTGTTCAAAATCATGGTAATATTGCAGCTACATTGAATATGTTGTTTTATCATAGTCATCTGTGGGTTTAAAATTTGCCTCTTGTTTCTGAAGACTGTATAAATACCCTGTTATGGCAATACAAAATTTTGCAGTCTTGACCTGGAAGAAAAGTTTATAAGAACCACTTCAGCTCCTCTCTCACCCCTTGTAGTCTGCTTGGTCGTATTTCTTAAATAATGGCTTGATATAAAAGCAGAGTAGTTGGCTAAGACAGCAGCAGGTGTAATAGGTGCTGGCTGGTGGATTCAAGCAGCACAGCTTTGAAGTCTTGTGAAGCTGAAGTTCAACATATTAATCATTAGTACACGTTTATAGGACATATATGTCTGTCAGACTCTTAAATTGACAGTTTATTGTATCTCAGTTACTACCACTGCATTCTTGAGCTCTGTGCTCCTAAATGTCTAAATTTTGCAGCTTTGCATGTTCACAGATTGATTCAGAATCAGCCTCTTTTTAAACTATTATCTCATGAGAATTGAGAGTTAGCTGTTGTGCAGCACTTAGTTCAGACTTGAAAGGCTGATACTGCCCTTGCATAATGGCAGGCTTACATGCCGCTCTTTCTGCCAAGATCAATCCCTTGAGTGAAGAAAAATCAATCCCTTGGAAAAGAAAAGAAAGGACAGGCTTTGCCTACTTTAGTTTCATGTGAAAATTGCTCCTTTAACTCCTACACTTGGTGGTTTCTGGTTCCCCTGCATTATGAACTGCTTCTTGCTGACTGCCAGCAGGTAAATACCTGTTTCTTGAAAGTCCATAGGTAAATGGCTAAATGATTTAGACACGGGCCTGAGTTAGAGTGCCCTTTCCAATTGCTGCTATTTCTCAGTCCCCTTTCCTTGAGTGTTCCTCTTCTGTTCTTGGACAGGACGGTTGACTCATTCAGGAACAACTTCTGTTCAACTCTTGTAAGCGAGTCCGTCAGTCCTCCCTCCTTTCTACTTCCTAGTGGAACCATTTTCTTTTCAAAGATCACTAATAACTTGAATAATTGTCTCATAAATTTATCTAAAAAATGTAATTGTTGTCAGGATAATTTTTTTTCTCTTTGCAACTAAACAACTTTCCCTGCCATACTTGTCATCCCACCATTGTGCACCCATATCAGAAATCACTTCCATTGTTTGTGTAACTGTTCTAGATTTTGGAAAGCTGACTGTATTCCCTTGAAGCTGCCTTTTCTTCCTGCTGGACAAACACAGCTTTCTCAATGTTCCTTTGTTATCAAACCTCCTGATGAATTTTGGTTGCCCTCTGCTAGTCTCAGTCCAATATTTCAATGTATTTTATGAGCTGGGGAGACCAAAACTGGACACAGTGTTCCAGGTGTGGCCTAATGAATGCCAAGTAGGGTGGAATAATAGCACCCCTTGGTCTGCTGATTGTACTCCTACGGATGCAGCCCAGGATGCGATTTGCTGTCATTGCAGCAAGGCCACGCTGCTGACTCACTCTTAGCTGACTTTCCACGAGGATTTCCATGTCCTTTTCAGCAGAGCTGCACTCCAGCCGCTCTGCCCCCAGCACATTCTGCTGCTGAGGATTGTCTTATGCCACCTGCAGCACTTCATGTTTTTATCTTTCATGAAGACTTCTGGTCCTTGTTTGCTTAATCTTTCAGTTTATCAAGGTCTTTATGTGGGATAGATTTTCATTCTGGTATATCTTATTTCTCCTCCCACTTCGGTGTCAGACAGAAAACTGGTGATGCTGCCCTTGATCCTGTCATCCACATCATTTATAAACACACGGAATGGCATTATCGTTCATGACACTTTACTGGCTATGTGCTGTCAGTTAATCTTTATTTTCTCTTATTTAAGACTTGTATTTATAAAACATATTACAAAACCAAGTGAACATTGTTATAGTATTAAAAGCATGTTTTGTTGTGATTGATTGAAATCATTGCTTAATCTTGAAACTAATTATATTTACTTAAATTTTGTAGCTTTCAGGGCATAGTGTTTTTCAGACTTCAAATCATAAAGCTAGATAGACTTGCAGATGTTCAGTTTGTTAGAAAGTAGTTGACATAATGGGACTTGTAGTTGCCAACTATTGAGATTTTTAAATGGTGAACCTAAATGATATCTTAAGATAATCTTTCCATCATCATGCAAGGATGTGTGATGTTTCACTTGGTAGTGAAGCAAATTTCAGTGCAGAAAGGAGGAAGATTGCTTAAGCCAGTATTGCTTCTAAAAGCAGTTTATAGTTATGCAAACACTTCAGCTTGAGAATCTTCTCTGTTCATTCCTTGCAAGCTGCAGTTCCACAATTTTTTCTCTCCATCTGCACTGTTGCTGCCAGCAGTCCCTGCCCAGCTGCTTGTTCTCTCTGCTTCATTTCTTTCCTTTGTCCCCTTGCCTCTCATGGTGTTGCTGCAATTGTCCAGCCACGTATAACGAACCTACCTGGGAAGCTGATCTGGCTGAAAAGTAACACCTTTTGACCCCTACCTCCTGCAGAAAGTGTGCTGTTTTTCTTCTGGGTAGGTTTCTTGACCTAGTTTCCTGCAGAGCTGTACAAGCAGCTTTGCCAAGAACCAGTGGGCTGGATAGTGGGCAGAGGCTACTCGGGCTGACTAAAGCAGCGTTTTTGCCAAAAGCGAAGTGACAGATTCCATTTCAGCAGTAAATGGAATTATGCTCGTTATAGCTGATCTGGACCCGCAGGTGGCCAGCGCTGAAGAACGGCTTATGTTTCATACTCTTCTTACATGGGCATCTTTTTGCCCAGCTAGTGAACTGAATTCACTCAGAAAAAAATTAGGGAGGGCATTTTTTTCTGGTTCACTCTTTCTTTGCTGGTTCAGTAAGAACTTAAGAGAGTTTTGGGAGTGCACAACTCTCCTGCATTTGATCAGCTTATGCTGTTATATTCCATTGTCCTGTATGTGGAGCTGTGTTTTAAATTATATGCCTTGAAGTGATTTCCCCCACCTCTCCCCAAAAGTTTTTTAGGTATTTCCTAGCAAACCAGGTAATTTAATTTGTAGGTCCTGCAAATAAGTTATACTGAAACAACTGGGGAGGTGAAAAGAGTTTGTGGTATGGAGGGAGAAGAAATTAACATGAATATGAACATCTTGGCTTTTCTGTCATAAATGTACTAGGAACTAGCCTCCTTATTCAAAGTTCTTGGTGATACTTGCTGTAGAAATGTAAAATTTATAAAGAAAGCATGTTAATTAGTATTGGCATATACTGTAAGGGAAAATACATTTTTTATTCCAATTTTTAGGAATTTGAAGACCACAGGGATGCTGATGATGCAATTTATGAACTAAATGGTAAAGAGCTGTGTGATGAAAGGTAAGTGTGATACCATAATTTCCCTTAAGAATAGAAAAATTGCCTTGCATCAAAATGCAGTGCATCTTGTGCTCATGACACCCATTTCCTGTGGTTCTGTGGTGGGATATACCTACTTTGAAGACATTCATTGGGATCCAGTCTTGTTTAAGGCAAAGATTAGTTTGGGACTGGAGGAGGAGTAGTTTGGAGCAGGGTTGACCATTTTCTCTACTTGCACTTAATTCTCTTTCAAAGGTAATTCAGGATCTTCTCATTAGGAATATTAGTAAGAATGAATTGAACTTATTTAATATTTATCTGTCTATCGAACAGAAAATAAGCTGATGATAGCTTGCTATCCTCTGGATCGTTGCCCTTCAGTTTGCAGCAAAGTGGACTATAGTCATTGAATGTTGCAGTAATTTTTGTTGTGATTATGGAAGCTGTATTTTAGGTCATTAGGTTGTTGTTAGTTATTTTAGTATTCTTTTTTCTCGCTGAGTACATTTGGGCTCTGGTTGAGCAGATTCAATGTTTGTCTGAATTACAGACTCATGACAATTTTAATGAAAATCCAGGGGAGTCCAATGAGAAAAAACACTTGTCTGGCTCTTTAAGAAATGCCAGTGCTTGTGTTATAAATCATTGCTTGCAAGGGCAAGATAATTCTTGTTTGTGCACATTTGCTTCCAGTTGGGAAAATAAAAGTCAATGTCAAATACTTAAAGTTTGTTGTTTTAATTTTTTTATGTTTATGCTTGGTTTGTTTTGTTCCTGTCATAAGGGTCACCATTGAACATGCTCGAGCCCGAAGAGGAAGGGGAAGATTCTCCCAGCGCTTCAGTTATTATCAGTCTCAGAGTGGATCTAGGTAGGTGGTCTGGGCTCTCTGTCCTTTTCCTCTTCCAGTAACAAAAAAACGAGTTTTCTTTTTGTGATTTAGGGATCCAGCTCTGTTTCCCTGTATAGTTTCATGAAATACCTCAAACCTTGCAGGTTCATTACGATTACTTGCCTTCCCAGGCTGAGGAGAGTGGGGATTTTAAAGCAGTTTAACTGTATTGGAGAGGTTCACAAACCTATTATGAAATGTGCCTTTGCCATATTGTAGGCACTATGCTGGTCTTGATTCCTACTGTCATGTAAATGATGTGAAGGAGTATTGCTGCAGTTGGATTGGCTGATTTTAACACTAAGTCAGGAAAAATGCAGAGCTTCTCTGTTGTGGCTTTTGTCACCAAACTGAGCTTACATGATAAGTAGGATATTATAGAGCAGTAATTCAAGGTATTTGCTGTATAAGGGTGTTTTCACATTTCCAGTTGTATGGTTACCAAAATGCTTGTTTTCAGCACAGCCTAGAAAGGAGCAGTGCTAGGGCACAAGATAAACACTTCTGCACTTGTTAGTAAATACCAGTTGACTAGGTTTGCTAACCAAGCAGGAGAGTCTCTCTCCAGCAAAGGAATGTGAAAACCAGGACACGGCTCATCTCTGGAATACTTCTAGAATACCTCTAGAGGACATACAGTATTTGTGGGGTTGTTCACTTTGCAGTGATCAGAGCCAGTAGTGAACCTTGTGACAACGTGCAGTGAAAGTTCTGCAGATTTGCAGGTATTCTGCCAGACAAGTACACATTACATCTTTTTATTTTATATCTATCTGTGTGAAAGAAATAGGTGTGGAAGAATTTACTCTGTAGAAACATACATAGCTGTGGCCTATGCAGATTAGAGTTTGGAAGAAAGACGAAGATACATGGGGCATAAACGTTCACATTTGTTGCAAAGTCAGAATTGCTGCCGGTTACAAACCAATGTCTTGAACATCTAATTTGCATAAGCAAGCATGTTAATTAGATTTGGTTTTACTTTAGTGGCAGTAACCTTGGTGTGGTATAATTGGTCCGAGGTCCAGGCTAAAAGTGGACTTTCAAAGTAGCAAGTTTGCTTGATTGAAGGTCATGGGTATCTGTTGTAATCATGTTCATGATGTCAGACTGCCAGTGCTAGACAAGAAGAGTTTTGCAATAATGGAAAATGAGAGTCATCCTGCCAGTTTTATGACTCTGGGTCCTCTTGTTTAAATACTTAGAAGATCTGGGTGTTCTGAAAAAAACTATTACACCCTTAACTAAAAAGAATCAAGTCTGAAATTAAATCTTTCAGCAAACTGTAGAAAATGTCAGATTTGTTAAGTTTTAAATTCCTTACACTGGAGAATTTTTTTCTTTTTTTTTTTCCCCCCTTTGAATTCTTCCAGCCGGTATGGGCCTCCTGTTCGTACTGAACACAGGATCATTGTTGAAAACCTTTCATCCCGTATCAGCTGGCAGGTGAGTTAGCATCTTACCTTCTCTTTTTTACACCTTATTTTACTACTCTGTAAGTAGACTGCGTTCAGTCTAATTTCTTAATAAAGCCATCATAAATATTTAATGTGAACAAAAAATAAGCAAAAAGCTTCAGGGATTGCTAAAAATTAGCATTCAAGCACTTATAGAAGTCTTTTGTTTCAAAGCTGTGCAAATAGTTCTGTAACTAGATTTGGTAGTTGGGAACTGATTCTTAATTCTGTTTGCCAACTGATAAAACTTTGGAAGACTCTAGATAGTTTGACTTAATGCCATGTTTCAATGTTTTAGAAACAATGTCATCTTTTTTTATTGTTACACCTGGAAGTGCATGCCTTTGTTTTGATTGAAATTTATAATTTTATGTTTTGCAAAATATTTTTGTGACTCCAGTTAATGATTGAGAATTCCATCATTAATAGAGGGAATTTTAAGAGAGCTACTGCGTCAAGTATGCTTATTGTAGATGTTTGTTTTTTTTTCAAACCCAAATTTTCAGTATTTGTCATTTGAAGCTTTCTTACCACCTTTCCTTTTTTTTCTTGTTTTTTTTTCACCTTTTGCTAATGTTTTGCTAATATTAAGCTGGCTTTTAACATAATAGCCATGTAGTCAATTCTTTTAGCTGTGTTCTGTGTAGTATACAGTAGAAAGTTCACTTTGTAAAGACATAACAACAGATGCTATTTACAAAAGGTGAGTGCATAGTGGAGTTTAGTCTTGTTCATTAACATATATATTCTTTGAATAAAGAGATTTTGATTAAAGTCCTGAAAGATGCAGTAGAACATGTTGAATGTTCAAAGCCTTGGTCTTGGAGCTACTTCCCCACAAGGAGGCTTCTTGGCTTGCCTGGAGCTCTGCTGATGGGTTTCGTAAGAGTTGGGTGCAATCCACGCAGATAAACTGAGTTCAACCGTTTATCTTCTGCATGACAGGTTCAAAGGGTTTGTAACAGTACAGTTGTGTTAATTATTGAATAACTAAAGAAAACCAGCTGAGTTGATGTGATAATCAACTAGATTTAATTGAAATATCTTCTGGGTTTGCTACACAGTTACATATATGGAGAGATTGTCACTTGGAAACAGCAGTAGGGAGCAGAGAAGTAAGCTATAATGGAGTGTTAAGGAAAATAAATCCTATTTTGCTGCTTAGTAACTGTTAAGTGCATAACTTGAAAAAAGATTAACATTTTTGTAACTTTCTTGTGAATATTTATAATGGCTTTATGTGTTTACTTACATTTTAATCTGAAGCCCACCCAAATCAGATTTCATACTGGCAAATCATCTAGTATTCTATTTAAATGTTTTAATGTCTCTTAAATATATGATAAGTTATCATAAGAGACTTTTTGATACCTGCCTAAATAGACATAATTTGAAGGTAACAACCATACGCAAGCTGCATTTACTTTTGAAGTTGTACTGCTTTGGTACTGACGATAGTGTTTTAACTTCTAACTATGCTACTTGTAACGCATAAAATAGCTAATCCATTAACAGTAGTGCCGTTATTCTTCCCTTCTAATCCTTGCTAGGAGGCACACTCATTATGGAACCTTGCTTTTAAACTTGCACACAGAATTTAATCTTTGGTGTGTCCAGATCCCCCTACTTTGAGAACATCTATCTCCCTTAAAAGTTACTGTGTTTAGATATTTAAACATAGAAAAAGCCAGAAAAATTTATATTCAGATCAGTTTCCTCAGATTGTTGACTATATCGTTAATAAATAATCCTATCTCTTAGAGTAGACAAACTGTTAGAACTCTCCCTTCTTTTAGCAAACATGTATTTCTGCATGTTCAGAGCTTTCCAACCACTCTCATCAGTGTCCCAGTATCAAATTTTCAAGTTGTTGAGAAAAGTAGGACTGTGTTACATCAAGATGTATTTTCCTATTTACGGTTGTCCTATACCTTATGTCTCTGTGCTGCTAAGGACAGCAGGGTTTTCTTGTGCTATTTAAGGTGACCTGAAACAGTAAATTTAAGATAAAATTTGATTGTTCCACTGGTTAGGTAATACCAAGTAACTTTAAAATATTCCCCTAATAACAGAATGTTGAGCTTTTATAACACATGCACACTTCCTCTCTTTTAAGAAATAATGTTGGCATCTTAATCATGTTGACATTGCAGTTACAAATGATATTTCATGTTAATGTTTCTTAGGATTCAGAATATAGTGTGGCAAGATTGTAGGAGCCTCAATCTTAAAGCCTAAAGTTACTGATTTGGGAAATATGTAGATTAACATTTTCTAACTTCCTTTTGACTTACCAGTCCTGGTCTGGTTAAATTCTCATTGACTTGAGCAGAGCCAAAATTTTGTCCATCATCTCTAAATTGAGGTGATTTGAAGTAGTTTTTAATGGTACTAATAGGGACCAATTTTCATTTCTTATTAGGGTTTCTTTATATTAAGATCTGTGAAACAAGGAAAATACTACTTTCCATATGCCAGTTTCAAACATAAAACTGTTCAATCGCAATACTAGATAAAACTAAGCTTTTTTATATTTTGTGGCAAATGTTCTAAAGTTTTTTCTTGGCTTTTTGTTTTGTAGTCTTTTGTTCCTTAAGCATATTTCTAATTCTAACCAAGTGCATTTTGAACCTCTTCTAACAACCTTGATTTGGTTAACCTTCATTTTTCTTGTGTGGAGGAAAAAGAACCAAAGATTTGGGGGTTTTCTAGTGGCTGAAATTCTAGGGTTTGGCCTGTTCTGAATTTTCCTTTTGGTTCCTATGACACTCCTGTTTTTTGGCAGTCTAGATCTTGGTTTGCCTGGGTTTGATCTCGATTGGCTAGCACAGATCATCCTCGGGTTCTTTAGCCACTTCTGGAGACTGGAGACTATGTCCAGTGCTTTCAGGGCCTCTGGTACCTCCGTGAAGCATATTGCTATGAGCCATCACTGCCTTTCTCATGTAAGAGAGTTCCTCTTGGCCAGCTAGGTATTGGACAAGCAGCTCTTTGCTTAAGGTACCTTCTTATATCACCTGCCACTTGTGGTGTGCTGCGGTAAGTAGTGTGGGATTATAAAATACCAGATACTGTTGGGTAAAAGTGCTGCCTTAACTTAGACAAATGTTTAGCTTTTTAGTGACCCTTTGTATTATTTGTTTGTGCTTTCTCCTATTGCTAAGCAAGTAATTTTACTTGTCCACATTTAGCCTCTGTTAAGTTTAAGACAGCGTGACGGATACTCAAATGAAACTTTAAAAAATTCCTTTGTAAAATTTAAATGACATTGTAGTTACACCTTTTTGCTTTTAATTCTGCTTTGAAGCTGGGGGAGGTGAGCATAAAGGTTGAATTTGTCTACATTTATTGGAATGTCATTTAACTGGGGTGTTAGTTACGAAAATCTGCGTTTAAAACTGTTGCCCTTCTCAGTTCTTATTTCAGGGGACATGTTGGTATTTTATGTATTGCATTGTATTTTCATAACAGCTGGTTTTGGGATGTAGGATTATCTTGAAAGCAGAGTTTTATTCACTGCAGCTGTAAAATGATGGATCTTTTCTATATGCAGCTGCTATTACATAAGCTGTTTCAGAAACTTTTTTCTAAATTATATGTATAATTTGAAATATAGAAATAAAAAGCATTAAGCAGTTTCAGCAGGGAAAGTTTTAGGGAAGTATTCTGCCACCTGCTTTGTGTCCTGTTCAAACTAAAATGTTAACTTTTGCTGTAGGACTTGAAAGATGTCATGAGAAAGGCAGGGGAGGTCACCTATGTGGATGCACACAGAAACAACAGGAATGAAGGGTAAGTTCATTTGGGTCTTTGTGAGATATGATAGCTGAAGCTGTTAAGGGCATGATGTTTCTTCTAATACAGAAGTAAAATATAAATCTATGGGGTGGCTTAGATGCTGAAATTTCTCCAGTTCAAGAACCAAAACGATCCAAAACAAAAACTGTCACTAGGAGTTCAGTATTGAACTCTGTCTCTATTCTTTATCATGAAAACAATGTATGAAAGCAGAAAAGGAAGGGAGAACTCCTTTTAAATTTTAAGACCTGCTGTCTTATTTTTATATAGTCATTTATGATCTGAGGCCTGAGGCTAAAAACACCTCCTGTGTGTGGCTGCTATACAGTGGTTCAGCAGTCAAAGTCATGGGAAATGAACATAACCAACTTCCATGGGGAATACCTACCTGCCTAGTCTCACTTCTCAGTTCTGCAGACTACAAAAACTTTGCACAACAAAGCAGGAGAGAAGGAAGTGTGAATAGAGTGTCTGTGCTGGCAGAACTGCTCTCGGGCCGCTGCAAACAAATGCAACTTAGACCATTTTGAGTTCAAATTTAAAAAAACCACCAAGGCTGGACTTTTCTATTCATTGTTGAAATTCTTAAATAGGGCAGAAGAGTCTGCAGACTTGTTTTGTTCCACGGACAGCTTTGGAATGCAGTTTAGTGGAGGACTGAAAGATGTTTCCTCAGCTGATGCAGATTTTTGTATCTTCCTGCATTTTCTTCATCTCCTTGTAGATGGCAGTTCTGGTATTATTTAAGAAGATGTGAGAAGTATGGATAGCTAGGACTGTGCTGTCATATTTTCTTATTAACCACGTTAAAAACTAGCTTTCAGAAGATGAAACAGAAAGCTGTGAATTGGCAGATTAAAAAGGGCCAGACCTGCTTTCCCTACTTTTTTTGTTGTTCTGAAACTTTCATTTCATTATGGTATACAGGGTTGTGGAGTTTGCATCTTACAGTGACATGAAGAGTGCACTGGAAAAACTGGATGGCACTGAGCTGAATGGACGCAGAATTAAACTGACTGAAGACCACAGAAGGCATAGGTATGTCACCTGACATGATAAAATTCTGCTGAGGACATGGATTTGGGTTGTATTGATGCCAAAGTTTGATTATGTAGTTTTTTTGGCCCCAAGCTAAATGTCACTGCACAGAACCACTTTTTAGTAGTGTAAACAGATTAAGATAAGAACTAACTTGCTGAAACAGGGTAAATAGAACACTTCTGGATGAGACTAAAGATTATTTTTTTTAAAGACAAAATGCGGTATTATAAAGAAACACGAATTTTGGTATTAAAAATGTTTAATTGGATGGAAAGCTGTTTGACAGCCCTGTGAAATATTTCCCAAATAGTTGTGAATGACAACTTGTTAATGAGAATAAAAGAAAATCAGTTAGCTTGCTTGCATTATTCTAAGCAGTTCTGCTGTTCAATCATTTAAAAAGCCTGTTGGCTGCAGCTCTTTGAAAAAAAGGGATGCATTACTAGAAGGTATTAAAACTCTAAGGCCTTAAAGTGTGCTCCACACCTTTAGAGACTTTCTTAGCCTCTTGAAAGAAACTCGTTTGCATGGCATTTCTAGAGAGAATAAGCACCACAAGTATAAAGTTCCATTTCTGTATTTGTCTTGATAAATTAAAGGCAAGGCATATGCAAAGAGTTCTTTGATAGAGACTCCTCTGCCTAAAATTTGATTTCTCTCTTCCTGTCAGGATCTGGGGAGTGGCATCTTTTCTTAGGCAGTGCATATTTTGCCACACTAGCAGAGAATGTCAAGGCCAGCAGTTCTTGATGGCCTTCACCTAAGAAGTTATTGTCATGACGGAGCATAGCAGAAATCTAGCAGCACTGTAAAATGACTGAATGCCGTGAATTGCGCTTTCAGATGTTCAGATGGATGTGCTATGCATAGAAAGTAGTTGAGAATTTTACATGATTGTTTTAAATTTAGTAAGAGCTGAGACTACAGCTTTTAATTATGTTTTTCTAGAAGCAGATCTCGATCAAGGAGTTACTCAAGATCTCGCAGCAGGTCCAGGTCTACAGGATCTTCCAGATCGGACAGCCGGTCCCGGTCCAGGTCAAGGTCCCGGTCCAGGTCCAGGTCTCGCTCTCGATCCCGATCTCGCTCTCGATCCCGCTCTCGTTCTCGCAGTCGTACTCCTAAAAAGAGTTACTCCCACAAAAGCCACCGCTCCAGCTTGATAGCTTCTTCCCCTTCTCCCTCGTCTTCTAAAAGAAAATCTCGTTCTAGGTCGAGCTCTGCTCATAGCCGTAGTTAACCTGCTTTGAGAGATGTATTAATTAATTTGATTCAAGTTTCTTGAAGACTTGAGACAAGTTATATATGAGATCTGGGAGGGGAAGAGTTAACATGATGAAAGGGTGACCTCCTCTTACATTGCCAAAGTGCCTGTCATCAAATAGGCCATCTCTGTGAGGAGGGGCTGGCTGTCAGCTTTCTTCTTTCAGTGAAGTCTGGAGTGGGAAGTCTTTTTTATTTTTTCCCCTGCTATTAGTAAACATTTCTATCATAGATATATTATGTACACATAATGCTGAGGTAATGGGATGAGACAATACGCTGCTTTCTCCCTCTCTTGCCCCTACTTTCCCCTCCACCTCCAAGGCCTTTGACTTCCAAAATACTATGTTAGCTTTTGTCCTTGGTATTAAGTCTGAGAACAGGAAGTATAGATTTAATTCCTTTAAGGTTCTGTGGCTACTTTTCTGTGCGAGAATGAATGGACCAGATTAAATTAGTTTAGAGTTCCCTGTTTTCCCTGTTGCTTGGCTTAACAGGCTGTTTAAGTTCCAGCTTTACATGACCTTGACAATATGCTTAATTTGTAAAAGACTTTCAGGAATACATATTGGTTAGTTGAATATTGGTCACTTGGATAATGAAAGCTGGAATGTTCTGTTAAAATGAGAAGTACCATCCAGATGTCAGGTTTATTGGGAATCCATTATAATAATTTTACAGTAATTCACTAGTATGTGGTATTGTATGTATAGGCCTTATTTGACAGGTGACTTCATAAAACTGCACAGAAATGTCAATATGCATGTCCATGTTTTTGATGTTTATAAAAGTGACATAGCTTTCATACCCAAAAGTGTGATACTGAATAACATGTGTATGACTAGCAATAGTCTTGATGGAAAGGAAGGTTATTTTAGTAATGAGAGCAGCAGAAAGAATTCCCAGGAAAAGTGTAGTCAAAATCTCCGGAATGCACAGTTGTTTTAATTAATAGAAATTTCCACTGCAAATACTGTTGTTCTTACAATTTGGAATTAGATTTTTTTTTAACTTCTGTATTGTCAAAGAAGGGAAACATTTTTGGAAAAAATATGTAAATTAATCCCAAAGTCTTACATGTATTTAAATGTACCATTCCTAATAAAATCAAACCTTTTTCTGGCTTATTTGGCAGTTTTGTTTAATTGTTGTTGCTGTTGTTCACTTCAGTCTTTCTTACATGATTACAAAGACATTTTTTTGTAGATTCACCTGTATAGAAGTGAGAAAATGGCAACTAGAAACCAGTTATGATATATAAGAGACCAGATGCTGAGTCTGGAAGGCTGGATAGGGCAGGATAGGATTTTTCTGTCACAGCCAGCAGTGGCTGTTTGAATAAATGGCAAAAGGATTCTTTCTGCAGTCCTTGCCAACAGGTTTGTGTGATACCTTCTGTTCTGACACTTCAACAGAGAACCAACAACCAAGTGGCCACAAGTGTTGGAATCTTCCTATAGATAAATTAATTTGTCACTTTTGAAATACTGTACAAGAGATTCTAACATTGTCTACACAACTTGTTTACATAAAAGGCTTCCAGGCTAACACCCTTTATAAAGTCAAGTTACTGGTGATCCTGCTCATGGCAGGGGTTTGGAACTAGATTTTTAGGGTCCCTTCCCACCCAAACTCTTCTTTTGTTCTTTGCATGTTTGGCATAATGTGATCTGAATCTGCTATAGCAGTTGTCTTACCACAGGACATTTTCCTCCTAGGGGAAGGAAGACTTACCCTACAGCATGCAACTGCTTGCACCATGGGCCACTCCTGGAAGTCGAGCAGTGCAATTATAGTTTCATTTCAGCAACTGGCTGCATCATGCCCCAAAAACGAGGGCATATATTCTGTGATGTTTATGGCACTTCTTTATTACTAATTACATTTTTGTCAGTTTAGCACATGGCTTTTCTTCCACGGATATCCCAGTGGTGCCTAAGCATAAACTTTATTGTACTTGGCCACATCACATCTCTGCTTTATTGAAGAGAAAAGGAAAGGCAGTGTTGTGCGTGCTCTCCTGTGGTTGCTAAACAAGGGGGAGAGGAGGAGGAGGAGGAATATTCCCAACAGGAAGGCCAGGATTCCTTGCTGAGCAGGTTTGGCTCTGGCTCATGCCATCTACTGGCTGTCCTTATGCTGCTGCTCCTGGAGCTGCAAAGGGGCTGAGAAGGGTGTGGGTTGTGTTTGAGGACATTTCTCTCAAAACTGCGGTGAAGGAGCAACGTGAGTCCAAGTAGGAAGAAGTGCCTGAAGATCTGCTGTACCCAAAGCGCTCTGCCCCTGCTCCAGGAAAGGGTCAAACACCTTGAGTGCCAGGGGTGGAATTTCTCTGCTCTGCCAGCTCCTGCTGCCACACCCTGATTTGAGAGCTAACTTGTACAGTTCCTAAGTGGAATTAGTCTTCTTACAGAGGTTTTGGAAACATCATTTCCCATCTGTTTCCCTCATTTCCACTCAATACTCATTGTTTGCTGGCAGACGAAATGCTTTGTGCATCCAGTACCTGAGGGCACATTTCCCATTTTTCCAGCCCTGCAATCAGTTCCCCCTTCACCTCCTCTCTCTGGAAACCTGCTGGAGAGCTGTTAGCCTTTCACCCTGGGTGATTTACTAGGACAATAATGTATTAGCCAACAGTTACACCTGGCAGAAGGCTCCACCATGCCAGCCTAAAGGAGGGGATACAGCAGAAACATCAGGGAGCTATTCAGGCCTTAGAGTCAGCACCAAGAGGAAAGTGCCAGGGTTAACAGGCTGGTGTTAGGAACAAGGCCAGTTATGCTGTAGTGAAATACCAGCTAATGGCAACTCTGTCTGGGTAGTCTTAGGATGTTCAAAGGATATTCACTGCTGTTGATTTGCTGGGCCTAAGACCATGAGGGAGTGATGAGGGAGGGAATAATGTATGGCAAAACTTATTTTTCAAGACTAACAAAGGATTCAAAATAAAACTGTTAGTTTCAATGGTAAGGAATTATATTTTTGTGTAGTGTGATGGCACTTTCCTGTGATGAACCAGGGATGAATGTGGTCTTTCCCAGTTCTCTCCTTTTCCACTCTAGAAATCTCTTGTGCTGTGTGGATCTGGAAGGATCCAGATCCAGAGCAGATGTTTCAGTTGAGACTTAAAATTTCTCTCCATATGTCTGTGTGTAGGTGTGATGCATCACTGGAGACTCTGAAATCAGGCTCAGCAGGGTCCTACAGACATGCTGGTTTTACCCAACAGCCAGCTCTCTGGTGTTCTAAGGCAACTGATTTCTCCTCGATCAGAGTCCCGTGGATATTTGTGGTTCATAGAGGTAGGATGCTCCAGGATACTCTCTTAAGGGAAATGAGCGCTCATTGGTATAGTTGAAATTAAAGTTTGCAAAGGCTGTCAGTCTAGAGCCTTGAAAAGAGGTACCCTAAACTGTTGTCAAAATTTGAGCCAGATGTTAGTTGGGGGACAGAGTAGCAGTGGTGCAGCATATGCTGGCACAGCAATGACAAGAAGGAGCCTTTAGGGAAACATACACACCAAAAGAAAGGAAACTGGATGAAGTCTTTGTATTCACATCTACAGCTGAAGGAATTAGTCCTCAAACTCGGTGAGTGAGACTATGGATGTAGGCCCCATCTGTGACACCTGGTTGGGGTTTTCCAAGTCAGGGATAGCCCAAGACTACATCCACTGTCCTGAAGAAGGAGTTCAGGTCTTGTTCATCATCAGTCTTTTTACTTCAAGGGGACTCAGCTGGCTTTCTTGGTTCACCCTTGATACCTGGAAGCAAAATCAGGGTTTTGAAGTTAGAATTGATGACACTCAGTATATTTTGAGATCCCCAAATCTCACAACAAACAGCTCAAAACCTGTGAGTGAATTTACTTAACTGCTAAGATCTCACAGACCCGTGTTCTGCACCCTCCTGTAAGGGTCTCTGCTACCTAAACAGCAGCAATGGCAGTGCGTGGAGGAGGAGTGCTCAGAACGGGTTATGTGTGCGCTTACGGTGAAGTTGTGGTGTGACGCAGCCCTCAGGGCTGCCTTGGGCTGGGCTCTAGGGCTGCCTACGCGCTTCTTCACCGTGACGGTGCTGTTTGGGTGCCGGCGGGGTTTGCCCGGCACGTCAGCAGCGCGATCCCAGCGGGAAGTGCCGTCGCTGCTTCCCACGGGCGGATCCCGCGCGCCGAAGGCGCCCCGCGCGGGCCCGGCCCGCCAGGTGGCGCTGTGGCACCGCCTCACGGGAAGCTCCCGGAAACCCCGAGCGCGGGGCGGCGCCGAGCTTTGCTCTGCGGAACCCCGGCCTGCACGGACAGACGGACACAGAGCTCTGGCTCGGCCCCATGCGGCTTTCAGCTCATTCACCTGCCGGGGAGCGGAAAGAAAAGGTGGAGGAGCGGCGGGGTTCAAAAATCAACCATGGAGGTGAGCCACGTGCGCCATCTCCTGCAGGACCTGTTTGTTGGAAGGCACGTCTGTGTGTGCAGATACGATAGGTCCCATCATTTTGACTCCCTGGCACTTCCTCGAGCCCTTGGAAGTCTCTTTGTCGTGAGAGCCACCGTGAGAAATGCTCTGAAGGGCTGTGGACATGTTTCTCCAGCCCAGTGGTGGTTGCAGGGTCGCTCCCCCAATCCCCGCAACATCTGAGCCACGCAGCTTCCCCAAGGGTCCGGGCTGCCCACCTTTGTGAGCTCCGGCAGGGAGGAGGGAGATGGAGAGCTTGAATTAAGATCCAGGTATTCAACTGCAGGCGCCCAGGAAACCTACACAGGCTAATCTTGAGAGGAGAGTGGTTACAAAGGCTCAGAAGTAGCGAGAGTTAACAAATGCTTCTCTTCTGCACTAGGCTGAGAAACAAAACTGTCTGCTGAGGAAGCTGCCACCCCCACCCCCATCCTCCTCCTCCTCCTTCACGTGTACCCACAGGAGCTGCCCAGAACTGGGGCTGCACCCTTCTGCCATGGCCTGTTTCTAGACAGCGTTAGGTATAAGCTGAATATTGCCACTCCTCCAAAGGAGTCTGGTGACAAAGAGGCTTCAGGAAATAACTTCTGGCTTGGTCTGGAGAAAATTTCTTGTTGCCTAGGTGTGACTTCTGAGCAGAATGGTCTTCTGCTATGTTTTGCCACCCAGTGCCTACAAGAGGGCTGTTACTCCTGTAGGCTGTGCTGCAGGCTGGCTAGGGGCTCTTTCCCTGGGTTCACCCAAGACCTCTGGCCCTTACCAAGTCAACGCCTCTCCACATTCCAGTCCTCTTCTAAAGTGGGGGGCTACCCCAAGACAACATCCACTGTCCCTGGAGAAGGAATTCAGGTCTTGTTCATCATCAGTCTTTTTACTTCAAGGGGACTCAGCTGGCTTTCTTGGCTCGCCATTGATTCCTGGAAGTAGCATCAGGGTCTGTGAAGTTCCAAGACCCCATCATTCTGCTTGAGAGCTTGAGGCCAGAACAGCCCGACTCCAAACTCATGGAGGCGTGAATCAGCTCCCAGACTTGCTGGACCCCTGCTCCAGTAGCATGGCAACAAGGTGGTTAGATGCTTAATCATCTTATGGGCCAGAGAGGAAGGCAGAGCTCTGGTTTTGGATTTCCCTGATCCCAGCTGTCTCTCAGGAATCCAGCATGTGATGCCTTGCCCTTTCTGGTACCTGCTGGATTGAAAAGCAGGGAAAACAGAAATGTTAATGATCTTTCTGTTGGCCCAAATTCCCATGGACATTACTTCCCCAGGATCTGGAAAACCTTGGGCAAACAACAGGGGTAATTTTCAAGAGTCTCCATTTCATCTGACTTCACAGACTTTGTTGCTTTATCCTTAGCTTAACAGTGATGCCATCCATTCTGAGTTCAACTCTCAGGAACAGCACCAGCAGAACTGGCAACACTCTTGCTCTTCCTATAGCACATTGCCAATACACCTTCATCCTCCATGTGCCATCATCCAGCATGCACGCAGCATCACTGGCTGGCTAACAGCACCTCCCTGGCTCCAGGGATGGGTGCACTGAGTCTCAGACCACACAGAAGAGCTCCTCTTCACAGCCCATCCTCTACTCTGGGTTCACTTGTTTTCCTTTTTACTCCAAGAAGCAGGTTCAGGTCATTTTCAGCTCCAAGTCCTCCAAGAATAAGTACCACAGTCAA